GTGAGGCTGGGGGGGGAGGGGGAAGCCCCTGGCCAGGGTGGGATGGGGGGGGGCCCCCAGGGGGTACCCCTCAGATCCCTCTGGGCCCACTCCCCCTCTAGCCGGTGGGCCCCTGGGAGTTGCCTCCCTGCCCCGCCCCCATCAATGCCTGTGTCTTGCAGTGCGGCCCCCGGGCTTCCCCCGGCGCCCGGAGGCCTCTCTCCTGGAGTCCCATCCCGCCTCTGGGCCTGGCGACGGCACCCGGCGTGAGTGCTACTACGATCCCAACGCGGCGCAGGCCTGTGAGAACGTGCTGGCGTGGAACGCCACCCGCCAGGAGTGCTGCTGCAGCCTGGGCCACGGCTGGGGCCTCGACTGCCACATCCAGGAGTGCCCGCTGCCAGGGACAGGTGAGGCGCTCCGAGGGAGGGGGCACCTGCAGCCACAGTCTCCTCCCCTCCCCTCCCCTCCCCAGGGCTTCGCTGGGCACGATGAGAGCAAGGCTCCCTTTAAGCTGTGCAGTCTTGCGAGCCAAGATTCTACTTTGTGAGCGACGGGCATTGAAGTTGTGAGCGAGCGATTTGGCTCCTGCATAAATCAGTTTCCTCTGGAGCCCCGTCCTTCCTGAGCGAAGGCAAAAATGGGTGAGCCGGAGGCTAAATGACTGTGAGCTAGCTCACACTAACTCAGCTTAGAGGGAACACGGCTCCGCCTGGTCAAGGGGTGGGCTGGGTTTGTGTTGTGTGTATGTGTGGGGGCCTACTCAGAGAAGTCTCAGTGCTCCCTCTAAGCTGTGGAGTCCTGTGAGCAAAAGTTCCACTTTGTGAGCTGCTGGCATTGAAGTTATGAGCGAGGGATTTAACTAATGCATAAATTAGTTTGCTCTGGAGCCCCATTCTTCCTGAGCGAAGACAAAAATCTGTGAGCCGGAGGCTAGAAAACAGTGAGCTGGCTCACACTGACTCAGCTGAGAGGGAGCACTGGATGAGACCAGCCCAAAGCGCCTTTGGGGGGGGGGGCTTGCAGGGGCTCTGGCTCTGGCTGAACTCCTGTTTGGGCAGACTGGGAGCCGTGTTGGGGTTCTTTTTGAGTAAGTCAGCAGAGTATTAAGAGACTGAGTCTATGGCGTGTTTTAAAATATAAGAGTTTACTATAAACCTAACATGGGGAAAAGGTACACAGGATATGAAAATAACAAAGAGCTAATATGGCTACATCCTTGCAGCTAAAAGGTAAAGCGGGAATGGCCGGCACAAAGAGAGGAAGAAGAAGCCAATATGCTAAATACTTGACACCTTGGTTTCCAATCAGACTCCAAAGTTCCCGGGCATCCTGTTGTCTAAACAGATGGGTTAGAAACAAACATGTGACTTCCTGTTGATAATAAAAAACATCATTAACCCTGTAAATACTGAAGTGTTTTGACTTAATAAACATGATTGATTAAAAATACCCAAAGAATTCATGCTGGGTGCTGTGAATAATTATGAAATAAATCACTAGGCTAATCTTCGCAATCAAGATGTCCTTGTTCCCCTTTTTCTTCCTTTAAAAGCCGCCTGTAAGTAAGTAAGTAAGTAAGTAAGTTTATTAAGAACAGTCATAAGACCAGCAAAATAGACCAAAATAGTACAGCACAGAATCTACAACATAGGATCCTTATGGCCTTAATTACTAAAATACCAAACCGGTCAATTCCATCATAACTGGCTCGAGTTACAATACATTCTGCGCTTTTTGATTACCAAGTAACAATATTTAGCAACATTGCGTGTGACAGAATCATAAGTATCGGCCAATAAAAACTTCATCAAACAATCCTCATCATATGTAAGATAATGAGCCAGGGGGTTAAAACGTGAGAGAAGGGGTGTCAGCAACTGCTGTCTCTCTTCATCATACAGAGGGCAATGAAGTATTATATGGGAGGCAGACTCCACCTGTTCTAACAAACAGGAGTAAATTCTCTGATGCATGGGGGTCCGGGTATATCTACCATAAAGTACTGCTGAGGGTAAAACATCGAGCCGTGCTCTAGTAAATGCCCATCTATAGTTAGGGTTTTTTATGAGCCCAAGGTAAGATGCAGCATTTAAACCTGGTCCCATCTTTAATCTCTTATAGTAGGAAGGCAGGGCTGCATAGTTGTTTTGTGCTTCAATATCCTTAAATCTTTGGTGTATTAGGTTCTTTGCATACTGCAGACCTCCTTCTAACAAATTTTCAGGATCTAATCCAATTAGTTTCAATTTATCTACTACTCTAAGAGCCCATTGGGGATATGGTATTGATGACAAAAGATCAGGAATAAGTCCCACCGGATTCAGATGGGACTTAACCCAATAATTACTCCTCTGTATCCAAATATTCAATGTTACAGTAGATAAACCTGCTTCTTGTCTTAAGCTCGAATTTGCAGTACCATTAGGGACGTTGAAAAGTGTTCTAAGAAATTTTGATTGTACTAGCTCTAGATCTTTAAATGTACTCTCTGCTAGTATCTGTGTTCCATATATCATTTGTGGGAGGGCTTTGCTCAAGAATAATTTAAGAGCTGCCGGGACATACTGGGCTCCGTCTTTCCTAAAGAAGCGCAATATAGCATTTGCGCTCTTTTGCGCTGAACATGCAGAATTTTGGAGATGTCTAGAAGCCTTTCCGTTAAATGAAAAGGTTAGTCCCAAATATTTGAAATTTTTAACTTGATCTACCGGTACCCCGTCCATTGACCATTTCATTTCTTTGTATTTTTTATGGAAACGCATGATCTTTGTCTTTGAGTAATTTACAGTAAGTAACTCTTTTTGGCATTGTGCACTAAATTTTACCAACACCCTGTTTAGACCTCCTCTAGTACGTGAGAGAAGCACAGTGTCATCTGCATACATTAAAACAGGGATTTTTCTTCCCATGCCCAAAGTGGGTGCTGAAATATCAATTTCATGCAGGCAAGTTATCAAGCAATTAACATACAAATTAAATAAAAGAGGAGCAAGAAGGCAACCCTGTCTGACACCTTTTTGGACTTGAATAGGTCTTGATAGCTTACCATCAGCAGCGTAACGTATTTGCAAGGATGTATTTTTATATAAATTAGCCCCCCCGCCTGAGTTCCCTAGGAGGGAACGTCTTCACGCTGCCCGGCCAAGTCGGGACGGGGCCAGAAAGGGACCCCTCCTCCTCCTCCGTTTAGCTGGGGGCCTGGTGGTTCGGCTGGTGATGGGCGTTGTGGGGTTGGGGGTCTGGGGAGAGGGCCAGGGTTGTGGTGCTAACGCTCTGGTTCCCCCCAGCTGAATTCCGGACCCTGTGCCCTCGTGGGAACGGCTTTGCCGCTGTGGGCCCTGGCACCTCCGCCTCTGCCCTCGCAGGTGGGCACGAACTCCGTGCGGCTCTGGGGCGGGGGTTTGGGTGGTCCTGCCCCTCCCCTGGAGGGGGCGGGTGGGGCGGGGTGCCTGCCAGCCCAGACTCCTCCGGGGGTCTGTCCCGGGGGCTCTATCTCTCGGGCCGTCTGCTCGGGAGCTCCTTCTAAGCTGCGTTTTCCTCCGGCCGCAGACGTGGACGAGTGCACCCTGTTCAGCTCCCAGGTGTGCAAAGGCGGGGTGTGCGTGAACAAGGTGCCCGGCTACTCCTGCTACTGCCCGAGTGGCTACTACTATGAGACTCAGCACCTGGAGTGCATCGGTGAGGCCCCGGCTGGCTGGCTGGCTGGCTTCCCCGGGGAGGGAGGGGTGCTGCGGCCCGGGACTTTGGCACCCGTGGTTTGGGGGCCCCGGTGGAACCTGGGGGGGGCACTGCATCAACACCGTCGGCTCCTACTACTGCTCCTGCGCCCCCCCCTTGGTCCTCGACGCCTCCCAGCACCGCTGCGTGGCCAACAACAGCCAAGGTGTGTGTGTGGGGGGGGCGGGAGAGGGGACTGGGGCTTGGGGGGCGGGCTGCTCCCCCCTCCCTCCTGCCTCGGCTCTTGTCCCAGGGGACCGATGAGAGAGGCCCCCACCCAATGCATCTCTGGGGGGTGGCATCTGTCATTAGTGGAAGAGACGTGTGCCCCATCAGCCCAGAAAGAGGATGGACCAGTTTGATGTAGAGGTTAAGTGTGTGGACTCTAGTCTGGGAGGCCTACGGGTTTGGTTCCCCACTCCTCCTCCACTTGCACCTGGCTGGATGACCTTGGGCAAGCCATAGTTCTCTCAGAGCTGTTCTCTCAAGGGCAGTTCTCAAAAGAGCTCTCTCAGCCCCACCCACCTCACAGGGTGTCTGTTGTGGGGAGGGGGAGGGAAAGGAGTTTGTGAGCTGCTCTGAGACTCCAAGTGAAGAGCACGGGGTATAGATCCAATCTCCTCTTCTTCTGCCTTGGGGCTGCAACTCTCCCCCCCTCCCCACATTTGCCCCCTTCTGGCGGGAGTTTTGCAGGATCGATCCACATCCAGCAGTGAACCCCCCACTGCATCTGCCTGCCCGGCCGGCACCTCTGGCATGTGTTCGTTCTCTCTCTCTCTCTCTCTCTCTCTCTCTCTCTCTCTCTCTCTCTCTCTCTCTCTCTCTCATATGTAT